AATGTTTTCTCTTTTCTTCTCTATCTACAATATAATGTAGCCGTTTTCCTCCCGTCTTTTTCAATTTCTCGTTGATATAGAATTTTTTTTGTCTATAGAACACCTGTTTTTTTCGCATAAACCTATACTGATTAACTTATTTTATACTTAGACTAATTTTCTACATCAGTGAAAAACAGCTAAATAGCGTGAGAAAAGCCTTATTCAAGTTTATTTTATATAAATGAACTTAAAAATACTTCATAGCTCTTTTTTTTCGCTTCCGATAAATTGCATGTGTTTAATTATTACTTATTTTTTTTCTCTTTCAGCACCGCTTATTACCATCACCTATTTTCATATAAGTCTATATTTCTAGATATATAGAATTCTTGCCTTATTTTCATTTTCCGTAATAATCTATACTATCATTAACATCAGATCTTGCTATAATCACAACATAGTTTGCTCTTATATATAATGTTTCTCGTATCCTGTACAATTTTTGGTATATTCTTATTTATTTTGGGTACATTTGGTAATGGTTTATGTATATTAGTATTTCTTCGAAAAAAATTTCGTTATCGTATGATAACACCATTTTTTATTGTTCTATTATTAGCTGAATCAATTTATTTACTATTTCGTTTAATTAAATTATTCTGGTATTCTCAAACACTTTTTCAACTTAGTAAACATTCAGATTGCTCAAATACATTTGTGGTACGAGTATATCGACATGCGACACAAACTTGGCCACAACTATTAGTACCCTTAATACATTCAGAAACATATATACGTTTTTCATTAATATTAATGTGTATTGTAACTGTACAGCGAACAACATTAATTACACGCTCGCTAAAACGTCTTGTTTTACCAGCATCATATAATGATACACATAGCCATAAATGGAAATTTTTATTAATCTTATTAGCATTTACTATTGCATATTTATTTGAATTTGCTGGTTTAACATTATTTTGTTCGAAATCAATTGATCCTGATACATCATATGAATGGTTTGTGTATATGGGTAAAAATATGGAAAATTCAACACAATCTTTCATAGATTCAATGACTGATCAACCTGATTTAAAATGTGTTAATCATATGTTAACAACATTTCAAAATCAGTCATATAATGAAAGTTCAATTATAAATAATAATGAAATATGTACAAAAGAACAATTAATGAATATATTATCCAATCATTTTGATCAACATGAAAGATCAATTGTTAAAATAATACGAAGAATTTTAATGAATCAAACAGGTGATATTCCATCATTAAATGAAGTTCGTCGAAAATTTCATTTTCATGAATGCGTATTTCCTCAAGAACCAAATTTTTTTCTTCGACATTATAATTTCATGTACAATCGAATAATTGGTTTTAATCGTCGTACATTACTCTTAGGTAAAACAATATTTTTATCTTCTATCAGAAAAGATTACGTAGATTATAGAATATGAGACTATTTGTTCCTTTTATCTTTGATACATTACACCTAATGTTGTTATATAGACATAAGATTTTAATTATGAAAAGCTAAAGATTGTGAAGGTCAAGGTGAACTGCACTATTTTTTTTACAATTAGAAAAATAGCCTTTAGTATAATAGATGTAAAAAATAAGAATGTAACGAAAATTGTTCCAGATACTATAGATTACATGTAAAGCTATTTAGTTTTTTTCTTACCATAATTCACTTAAGCATAAATTAATTTATGAAAAGATAATTTAATAGTTTTTTAAACTAATTCAAATACAGTAAGTTATAACTATTATAGACAGAATCTTTATGAAAACATAAATTCATTTAATATTCATTTAAGAAAATATAAATAACTATTTGCTCCGAGTAAATATGAGGTAAAAAAGAAATTTAGCCGATGAATGTAGAAAAACTATCATTCCTATG